TTATCAGTGAACTTACCTGGTGTCATAAAGTTACAACAGAATCCCTGTAAAATCTAGAAAATTGGAAAATTCATAAATCTAAATCATTATTGAAAAACGCACAATCATAGGCTAATATTAAGCGTTTTTCAATAGTTAATTGCATTTTTATTAAGTTTTTTGGATTTATTGGATTATATAAGGATCCTATTATGTTATTTATGACACCAGGTATATCTACTGATGAATATATACTCTTATTGACCAAGTTAAAAAAATTTAAATTTTATGTTAATTCTAAGATGTAGTATCACTTTAACAAGGAAACCCGTGAATGTAGCCCACTAAATAATCGTATCTTTACAGAATACAAAGTATATTACGTTGTTGGCTCGGGTGTACCGAAGTTGAATTTTAGTCTGATCCAGGAGTATGATTTGGTTATTGAATGTAGCGATAAGGACACCCCAGCTCCTACTACCACTCTAAAGGTCAAGGTCACTGGTAACCAAGCGCCTGTTCCTGCAGGCTTACCTACAGGTTTGTCAGATTTTTATGAATTTTCCAATTTTCTAGATTTTACAGGGATTCTGTTGTAACTTTATGACACCAGGTAAGTTCACTGATGAATATATACTCATATTGACCATTTCGAGAACTTAAATTTTATGTTCATTCTAAGACGTAGTATCACTTTAATAAGGATTACAGAACATTAACAAAAAAAAACAAAAAAAACAAACCAACACTAGGAGAAAGGATTTAGATTAAAAGTCCACCATTTTGTTTTTGTTCCAGTGAAGACAATCGACGCTAAAGCTGCCCAATATCAATCTATAAATAGTTTCATATACAATATGTCGGTGACAGATCCTGAACAAGACGTGCTGACCTTCACCATGTACAGTGACCCTGACTTCGGTTATTTCAAAATAGATCCATGTAAGTGTTTTACTTGTAAGTCTTCATTAGAAATTGGCTGACTCTGTCATAACCTCTGGTTATTCGATCAGAGTTGGTGAAAAATCAAATCAACTATGCCCTGACTCTGTCATAACCTCTGGTTATTCGATCAGAGTTGGTGAAAAATCAAATCAACTATGCCCTGACTCTGTCATAACCTCTGGTTATTCGGCCAGAGTCGGTGAAAAATCAAATCAACTATGCCCAGACTCTGTCATAACCTCTGGTTATTCGGCCAGAGTTGGTGAAAAATCAAATCAACTATGCCCAGACTCTGTCATAACCTCTGGTTATTCGACCAGAGTTGGTGAAAAGTCAAATCAACTATGCCCAGACTCTGTCATAACCTCTGGTTATTCGGCCAGAGTTGGTGAAAAATCAAATCAACTATGCCCAGACTCTGGCATAACCTCTGGTTATTCGACCAGAGTTGGTGAAAAATCAAATCAACTATGCCCAGACTTTGTCATAACCTCTGGTTATTCGACCTGAGTTGGTGAAAAATCAAATCAACTATGCCCAAGATTATCATCATTCTATATACTCGTTAGGGATAGCCGAAGAATCAGGCTGTTTCACACAGCGCATATAATTATATAGTTCGTCATCATACAATGATGACATTAATGTCATCATTGCGCCGCATATCATCATCATTCATTACCCATCATCACCAAACACCATCATACGCCGTGTGGTGTGGTATGTCATTATCATCATTAATGACCCATCGACATATACTTCTTCACCAACATCTTAATTTCATTGAAGATTCAGGACAAATCAAGTCAGCAATAGATCTGAGGTCAGCAACAGTAGATACCATACCGTTAGCCATCAATGTCACTGACGGTACCAATACTATAGGACCTCTACTTGTTACCATTAAACTAAAAAGTAAGTTTGCTTGACGAACCACCACCACCACCCTCCGCTCCTCACCACCCTCCGCTCCTCACCACCCTCCGCTCCTCACCAACAATGATCCTCCGTCCTCTCAGACGCTCGAGTTTTCTTCTGTTGATCAGTGCTGATTAAGATATAAAGCAATCTGAGATATCTCAGGGCTCTCAGTTCACTCTTCAGAAGCACTTGATATCACTCTGTGCCTGGGCCGACAATTCCATCGAATAGAGACAGCATTAACGTTCAAAGAAACTTTTTTAAAAAAAAATTAAAGATGGGTTTCCTTATTTTTTAGTGTCAAATTAAGCAAACTATTTGATTAATTGGTTTTTTTTT